GACTTAAAGAGGACAAGACTTACAAGTATTGAAGAGGAGGATCCAGCAAAGAAGATTGAGAAGGTACAGGTGTAGCAAGATAAGAGAAGAAAATACCCAAAAAAGAGAAAGGGCTCAACTGTGTTGAATGTTGTTGAAAATTTAAATGTCCATTAGATTTGTCAACATGGACATCTTAACAAGAACAGTTTCAATGCAATTGAGTAAGCAAAAGCCTGAATGGAGTGGACTCAAAAAATAAAGAGTAGGGAGGGGACTGTAAAGCAAGTATAGACAGCAACTCTGTTTTGCTGAGAAAGGGAGAAGAAAAATGAGGATTGACAGGAGATCCTCTCAGTATGAGGAGGGTGGAAAGTTGATTGTCTTCCTTTTTTTTAATGTAAGATATTAGAGAATTTCATATGCTAAGAGAAATAATCTAATAGAGATAGTGAAACCAAGCACTTGTTACGTTCCAGGTGCTAAGAATACAATAATGAACAAGACAGGCACAGCCCTCTCACCCTTAAGAAATCAAGTAAACAAACAAGTTATTGCAGATTGTGATAAGTGCTTTTAAGGAATTAAACCTTTATCTTCAATACAAAATTGGCTTGAAATCCTCACCTTGAATTCTATTAGAAGTATACAAAAGAAGGTCCCTTATATAATGGCACACTTCTATGACAAACATTCTTTCAACAAATATTTTCCAAACACTTAATATGTTTACTGTGTGTCTGGCACCTGGGCTAGAACCTGCAAATACAATGATGGGCAAGATGTAATTCCTGTACTGGAGAAGCTTACAGTCTAGGGAGAAAAAACAGAATCTAACAGGCAATTACATTGTGATACATTGTGATAAATGCTATGATGTGGGCAAGCAGAGAATGCTGTGGGAAAACAATGAAAAACAACTAACCTTTTGGGGGAATTAAGAAGAGTTTTATAAAGGGTGAAATAAAAAGGGATTAAAAATAATGATAGGCTAAAGATAAAATGGGATAGGCTAAAGAAGATATGGGCAGGGAGAGCATGTTTCAGGCAGATGGAGCAGCACATGCTGGGCTTGGAGGCAAGAGAGAATATAAAAATTCAGTGACCCACGACAAAATCTAGTGTTAAAACTGAACAGGAGTAAGAAAACTATGTAAAATACATTTAAAAGATCAGACTTTATCCAGAGGACATTGGAGAGCTATGAGGGATTTTAAGCAGGAAACATGATCAGATGAGTATTTTAGAAAGCTCTCTCTGAATCCATTGTGGAAAATTGACTATAGGGTACAAGAAAAATGGTTGAGAAACTAGCAAAGAGGCTTTTACTCTAAGCTAGGCAAGAAAGTAGTGGCATGAACTCAGAGAATAGCCAAAGGAATAGAGGGGTGTGTAAAATATTGACAGCTATATAGGATTCAAAATCAACAAGACTTCATGTTGACTACCTGTGAAAAAATAAGAGTAAGGGAGGAGTCATCGGTGATGGCCAAATTTCTGGTTCAATAACTTGGATAGATGAAGATATCTAACACTGAAACAGATGACAGGAGAAAGAACTGCTTTGGGGGGAAGATAAATTCAGATTGGGGTATGTTGAGTATGAGATATCACGAGAATCCCTATAGTAATGACAAGTAAGCATTTGGCTACAAAGACCTAGAACTCTAGAAAGGTCTTGGTTGAGTCCGTCAGTCAGGATGTTCTGAGGTGCACATGCTAGAAAACCCAAATTAAACTAGCATAAACAAAAAAAAATTAGCTCGCATAACTAGAGCTGAAGTAGAAGACAGTTTAGGCACAGCTGAATCCAAAGACTGCAACATTGATATCAAGAATCCAGTTTCTCCATCCCAGCTCTAATTTCTCTGCGTGAACTCCATTGTCAGTCAGGGCCTCCATTTGTGAACACATGATAACTGCCGGCAGCTTTCCTTTCAGATAAAACTCTTTCAGATAGAAATCCAAGAGAAAAAGGGAGAAGTCTGTATCCCAGCATTCCCAGAAAAAGCTCTGAGATTTAATCCGATAGGATCATTTTTGGCCTTGCACCCATTTCTGAACTAATCAATGTGCCAGAGTTAGGAGGGTCCTGTTAATTAACATAAACCATTAAAGGCCCACTCCTGGAACTAAGGGTGGGGTCCACCCCACCTAAATGACTTGGAAACTCAAAATCCAATTGCGATGGAGGTGGAGGGGAAGAGTAATACAATGATAACAAGATGTAGTTCCTACATTTAAGAACTTTATAATCTAGTGGAGAAAAAAATAGAATTTAAAGACATTTACAGTATATTGTGGTAAATGCTATGATGGTGACAAATACAGGCTGCCAGGGAATATAAGGAAAGACATCTTTTGGGAGACAGATGCAGAGACAGTCACCACACATGTCCACTACCACTATCTATGGCAGTCTGAAACAAAGATTTGGGGTCAAGTGTACAGAGATGGTAACTGAAGCCAATGGTAGGTGAGATCACCTAGGGAGAATGTGTTACATAAGAAGAAACCCTAGAATAGAACTCCAAGAAACAACAAAATTTAAAGACTGGACAGAGGAAAACGAGCCGTCAGAAGACATGGAAGAGAAAGAGTTAGAGATGAGATATAAGCCTGGAGAGTAATGTTTCAGAGAGGTCATTCCTTACTGGAGGCTTTTAAGAAGATGTCTGCAACATCATTAGCTGGGACAGGTTGGGTAAGATAAAAACAGGAAAATACTCATTAGATTAGCATCAAAGAGGTTGCTGGTAGACTTGAGGGAACCAGTTCAGGGAAGAACCAGAGCTGAAACCAGACTCTATGTGTGTTGAGGGAGAGAAGGAGAAAGAGGGGAAAGGGCTGAGGAGTGAGGAATCCATGAGAAAGCTTTCAGAAAGCACTCTTTTTAGGAAACACAGGGGGGTAAAGAGATAAAGGATTATTGGGTAGGTAGAAGAACATATGGAATCAAGGGAGCGTGTAAGATATAAGACGATTCAACATTTTAAAATGCCAAGTTAGAAAGCAACAGTAGAGCAGGAGAGGTAGAAGAAAATGTCTACCTGGAAAGTTTGGGCATCACACTCTTCATATAAATATATATGCTGTATACACAATAGGAAAGAAAGAGGCTATTCATAACTGAACAAAACATGATGAATTACACATTGGAAAAGTGAAAAAAAAACTCCAGTGAAAAACATTTTTAATGGAAATGACATCACGAATTTTTAACTGGATTTTCTGGGTACTTATGACCTGAGATTATTTTTGTATCTTGAAGTGTAATTTGAAAATACAATTTTAAATGCTTAAAAATGAAGTTATTTAATTAGTTATATGCTGAAGTAAAGGGGTCCAGTACCACTGTTAACTTTTTTTTAGATCACAGACTACTTTGCAAACACGATCAGAACTATGGAGACCCTCTCTCCAGAAAGAGATGGATTCCTTTTTTGATGGTCTTCCAGGCAGGCTCACTGAAAGATGTCTGAGACTTACCCACAGACAGAAAGTTAAGAGTATAACCTTCTCCTAGGATTTGCCAACAGGAATCCTCTTTGAACTTCTGATGTCTGCCAGAAAGCAAGCAGGCTTATTCTACTTTCCTTCCTCTTAATGATAATTGAAGTTATATCCTCCACTGCTGAGCCTACAACACCAATTGCAGCTCCTCCTTCCCTCTCCCCTTTTCCTGTGCTCCAGCTGATAAAAATATGGGACTCAAATAGTCTTACCTTCAAATCCTGGCTCTTGTCACTTTCTAAATTACACCAGCCTGGCCAAGTATTTCTCTCTCTAAGCTAGCTATATTTTTCTTATGAACAATATGAAACTATCAAATGTTTACTTCCTCCAGCCCTACTAGGCCCAATCTAAGAATCAGGTATTATTCTTTCTCACAGAAAATTAACACCTGATTAAAACTATCAAATACTTTGTTCTTATTCTCATTCCTCCCCTTTGGATTATAAACTCCTTGAAGGCAGGGAATAGGCCTTCTATTTCATTTCTTCTTGCCCCTCTGCTTATCATATTTCTGCTTTTAAAACTACCACAAGATTTGCTGACTTAGTTGGCTACTGATTTAGAATTCAGGTCTAAATTTGGTTCTAGCCTCCATCATTAATGATCTCTTCTACATTTCCTGACAACTTTCACATACTTCACCTCCAGATTAAAATATGAAACCGAAATTACAAATAGCTTTGTTAGTGACTTAGCCCTTGTCAAATCATTTACAAGAATATTTTCATAGGACTGCTATTTTAAAATGATTACCACACGGGTTATGTAACCTCAAATTCCTTTTTCAATTTTGTGATTTTCTTTCATATTAAAGCAGCTTTGAAAATTTGCCTTATTTACTTTTGTGTCTAATAACATTAGTAAAACCATCAGAGTTAAAATCTCACCAACGGTTACACACTGCACTGTGCTGACAATAGTATTGCTGCTTTTTGGGAAGGACATTTCTGAGATGACACAACAAACTGTATTACCAAAAAAATGCTACAGATAGCATTAGCTAAAGAAAGTTGTTTGGGAATGAGATAATATATTAAATACTTGGTATATGATTGATTGTACGTATTATACATTCCCTGCTTCAGCAAACCTTGAGTATAGAGTTTCTTTCAGGCAGACCTGGAATTAGGTCTCTCACTCATGTGGTTTCAATTAAGTTCTGTTAAAAATAGCTCGCAATATAAGCATCAACAACTTTACTACTTTTAATACATACAAAGGATAAACTTGGGAAAAAACAATCAAAGGACGTTACATAGTACCTGCTGTTGGGTCTTAGTAAATAGCTGAAATAATCTATTTAATATTCAGCTTTATATACAGCTGAAATAACAGTTTTCTAATATAAACTATTTGTTAATAAGACAAATACATACATTTAAGAAGCAGACAGAAGAATGATTCTTTCTCAGCTCATCAAAAGTAATTTATAAGAATCTCAATACAATTTCAACACCAGGATATATCACAAATAATTAGAGAATTTTGATTTTTGAATTTCATGTAATTCCAGGCAGACATTCTGCTTCATGGGCTTTAACTTCACATTCAAATCTTCAAAGTAGTGAAAATTCAGCCACAGTTGCTACATCCTGCCATTTGTTTTTATTATAATATCTGGAGAAAAAAAAACAATAGATTATTTCATATATATCACAAGCAGGTGTCCAATAGTTATTAATAACCAGTCCTTGGGGGGAGAGAACCCAATGTTCATGCAACTCTAGTTTCACCCCATCAAGCCTTAGGAAACAAATCCAGAGGTCATTTAAAAAAAAAGAATAGTTGGCTCACTCCTTCCTGGACATGCTGAGCACACTTTTCTTTGGAGAGACAAAGAGACCTGCTCAATAGCATTCCAGTGGAAAGCCCAGCAAAAACGGCTGTCAGTGACCATCACAAGGCCGCTAACCTCAGCCTTGTAACCTGGTGTAATGGATCCACTTCTCATCACTGTCCTCCTTAGCCACCACCCAGGCAGAATCCCCTCACATTTCCCTACCCATCTTTCTTTTCATTCTCCTGCTGTTTGTTGTAGCTGAACCAGGTTCTTTCCAATACAGGATTCTGGAGCCTTTCCCCTCATACCCTGTACCAGGAGATCGAGAGTGGAGCCAACTTTACCTATTCCCATTGCCAATTTCATACTATGATATACCTCACACCCTGGCCCAATCAGCCTATATCAATGGTTCTCAAACTTTGCTGGACCTTAGAGTTACCTGAGCTTTTAAAAATCCTGATATCCAGGCTATACTCCATACTAATTAGATCAGAACCTCTTAGCAAAGGACTCAAATATCCAGGAAAAGTCTAACGTGCAGCTGTTTGAACACCAGAGGCCAATATCTTTGCTCTTCAACTCTAGTCCATGGACCAGTAACCTCAATGTCACTGAAGAGTTGATGGAAATGTAGAATCCTGGGCTCCATTCCAGACCTACTGAATCAAAATCTCCATTTTAACAAGATCCACAATCAATTCACAAGTAAATTATGTTTGGGAAGTACTGACTATTCTACCCTCTACTCCTCCTTATTCTTGCTTTCAATGACTTCAGAAAACGACTGATCACTTATTAAAGACTGGAAACTGGGCCACAGCCATCCTCTCCACACCAGCGTTTGAGTAACTTCCCAAGTGGTAATCAGCTCACCCAACTATCTAGTCTCATCTACCCAACCTTAGCCATCATGTTTACATCCAGGGCCATGTCCTATATTTTCTTCTGACATCACCCATAACACATCATGCCTGAAAATTTACAATACTACAATCGGATAAATCATCCTCTAACTGTCCTCTTCTCTCACTACACTGTACCAGTAACTAATCAGTCACTGAACTCTGACAATTATACCAATAAACATTTTTAGGTTAGACTGGTTCCCAAATCCCAGAAATCCTGAATCAGATTGCTGAAGCAATGACCCTGGAATTTGCATTATTTATAAATCCCCCATGCGGTCTGAGCACCATACTTTGAGATACAATAGCTAAAATCCTTATTTTCTCAGCTTTGTTCATCAGAACTCTTGCAAAACTCCCACCTAATCTGTCTTCTTTCAGGCTCACTTCTTTCCAAGTTACTCCACACTTCTAGCTGGAATGATCTAACTAAAAAGCAGTTTGACCAGGATATAGTCAAAAGTCAGTATGGCATAGGAAGCTCTCTAAGATCTGACCCCTGATTACTACTAAATATTCAGTTTCAGAGTCCAATCTCCACTCCAGCTGAACATAACTACTTCATTCCTTAATTACCTAGGAATACTTTAAGCTTGTGTGCCTTTATTTATGCTGGTTCCTCTGCCTAGAAGGCCTATACCCAGGATGTCCCCGAGGGCTTCAGATCATCCTCCAGAGAATTTCCCACTTTCCCTATATTTCCCAAAGGATCCCACATATAGCACTACAAAAGCACCTATACCTCCACTGGACTTCCTCCATGAGATTACAAACTTCATAAAGACAGCTATGTATTTCTCTACAATATTACCAGCAATCAACTGCATCTAGCACATGATATGCAGACTCAGTCAATGTTTGCTGAATGAATGAACCAATCAGCTACAGAACTTCATCTTTTTATTTCTATAGCCACATGACACCAAATCAACACACTTAAAAGGTCTCTATATGTCAAACTAGTCTGATTTCTTTTCCCCTGAGGAACTGGCTGGCATACTTCATCTCTGTATTTATACTGGACCAATGTGTCTGTGTCAAAGACCACACACACTTACCTGCTTATACTATGTACATGAGATGGCATAACCAAATTTATGATTATATACAATAACCACACAATATATTTTAGACTGTTTACAATTAAATAAAACCACAGGTGTAGTTTTCAAAGGGAAATTTAGTGAGTTAGACCTGAGGAATTAACCTATTGAGGCAAATAATAATTATTGCATAATGAGTGATTATTCTATGTCAGACATTTTATGTACATTATCTCTAGCCCTTGAAGTAATTCTGTGAGGTAAGTAATTATTATGCCCATTTTACAGATAGAAGGCTAAAATTCAGGCCAATTAAGGAATGTACTCTTATTAACAGAGCTAGGATATGAACTTAGGGATGTTCTACTCTTAAGTGATTAAAGTAGAAGGATAAAGGACTACCATCCCTTGGATACTCAAATCTTTTTCCATCTCATTTGTCGTATTTCTGTGTGATACTTCTGTCTGCCATTATTATCTAAAAACTCAAACTGCCATTAAAGATATATCTATCTACCTAGGTAAAAGCTGTTATTCTATGAGATTAAGATAGGAATCTGTAACACACTATCATCCCTTCTGGAGATGAAAATAAAATAGAAACCTCAAAATCTTACTATACAGATAGCTACAGATTTTCTCTGATTTTTCCAGAAAGTACTGTAAGCTTGGAAGTTATCCTTGACACTTTGAAGTTAAAAGTATCCTCTTCTGGGCTCCTGCAAGTGCTTTGCTCCACTACTAACTTATCACCTTATAGAGAAGACTGTGAGATCTACCTCATCACTAATGTGTAAGCCCCAGAGGGCAAAGGCTGTACTCATATCCCTAGCTAAAACTGCAGTGCCTTACGCATGCTTGCTGGATCAATTAAAGTACCAATAAATTAGACATCCATTGCTATAACTATAAGAAGTACAAAGCAATAATTGTCCAAACTTCCTCTTGACAAAAAAAAATTGTCTCTTTAAGTAGAATATAAAAGCAAGCCCAGTGCGTAAAAGCAAAGAGGAGCAAAACTGCTCTATCTAGATAAGCTGGGAAACTCAGAGCCCCATCTACTCTATCCCACATTCTCTATTTATTTGACAGCTACCCAGTCAAATTTAATGAAAATCAGAAAAGCTAAGTTCTAGTTCTGATTCTTCCAGTAATTAGCTATGTAAACTTGAGCAAGTCACTTATCAATATGGCCAGGTCATTTTTATTATATGTAAAATGAGCAAAATAGACTAGATTATTATATCGTTCTCAAATTTTAGTGCTTACTGGGACCACTTTGAAAGCTCATCAAATGTAGATTCCTGTGCCATACCTTGAGAGATTGTAATTTACCAGGTCTGCAGTGATTCTGGTACAGGTGGTCAGAAGACCACACCATGACAAGCCTTGGACTGGATGTTTTCTAAGGCCTCTTCCATCCAGTTGTCTGTTACCACTCTCAGACCTCTACTTACCCATAGCACCTTCTCTATCACATCTCTTTTGGACTCTTCTCATGGTTTACTTTCACAAATTTTTCTTCTTTAATCAGCATAGTGCCAATTATTAATGAACAAGCAGCACAAGGAACAGGGGTCCTAGACTGTCAAAAGTGAGCCTCACCCCGTAGTCCTGATTAGATTACTGCCAAACTAGCTAAACAGTTAAATGCCAGGGCTAAAAATAGGCTGCTGCATGTTTAAAATAACATACTCATAGTTAGCTTGGGGACTTGCTATTTTTACTACAGGAAAGACACAGACAAGTGCCCAGAGGTTGAAAGGGAATTAAGTAAGGAAGCTGCTATATGAGATGAGAACCTAGACAGAAACCAGGAGGTGGCACAACTGGTTCAACTTGCATCAGGGAGTCTCTCTGTCCATTAAACAAAAATTTTGGTCTGAATACTCAAAAGAACATCCTAGATACAATTTAGTTTTGATTTGTGACATACTTAAATCCAGGGTTGTGACATTACCTGATGTCATACACTAGGATGACAGGCATCCTTGAGCCCAATCTCATATATGCTCTTTCCACTTGATAACAGAGTGCTGCTCTTCACAGCCAAATTTATGGCTTGGCACATCAGACAACGCACAATTCATCATGGGCAGCTCAAAGATCAAATTACGAGAAGTTGCTTTATTTTTATCTTTTTACTGAAGTATAGCATACACAGAAAAGTACACATATCTGCACTATACAAATTGTTGGGTCTTCGGAAACTTAACATACCATTTAGCCATCATCCAGATAATGAAACAGAACACTACCAGTACCCTAGAATTCCTTCTTATAACCCTTTCCAGTTAAGACCCGCTCCCCAACAAGAACATCCACTATGGTAATTTCCACCATAGTTTAGTTTTGCCCAGTTTTGTACTAAATATAAGTAAAATTAAATGTACCCTATTGTGTCTGGCTCCTTATGTGGGATTCATCAATACTGTTGCATGTAACTCTACATTGTTGATTCTCACTGTCATATAGCACTCTAATGAAGTATACCACAGTTTATTTATGCCACAGTATATTTATCCATTGTACTGTTGATGGGCATTTGGATAGTTTCCAATTTGAAGCTATTATCAACAGTGCTGACATGAATATTCTAGTATATATCTTATGATGAACATATGTACACATTCAGTGGATATATTCCTGGAAGTGGAATTGCTGGGTCTCTAGGGTTCAGGGAAATGGAATTGCTGGGTGTCTTTCCATCTCATTGAAATTTCTAGTTCAGTGATATAAGAGATATGCCTCATAAGATAAAGAGTAAGTTGTTGCATCTTGCTCCACCTACAGCCAAAAAGAGGCACAATACCTAGTGGGCCTTTTAAGATTTTGGAGTCAATATATTCCTTATTTGAGTGTACTACTCAAGACCTGTTACTAAGTGACCCAAAAGCTGCCAGTTTTGAGCGAGTCTTAGAACAAAAAAGAAGGCTCTGCAAAAGGTCTAGGCTACTGTGCAAGATACCCTGCCACTTGTACCATATGATCCAACAGATCCAATGGTGCCTGAAGTGGTAGTGGCAGAAAGAGATGCTGTTTGGAGCCTGTAGATGAACTGCAGTCTATACCCTTAGGATTGTGGAGCAAAGCCCTGCCATCCTCTGTGGGTAATCACTCTATTTGAGAAACAGCTTTTGGCCTGCTACTGGGTCTTAGTAGAGTCTGAATACTTGACTATGGGCCACCAAGTTACAATGAGAGCTGAGCTGCCCACCCATCATGAATTGTGTGCTGTCTAATGCACCAAACCATAAATTTGGCTGTGAAGAACAGTACTATGTTATCAAATGGAAATGGTATACATGAGAATGGGCTCAACATGTCCTGAAGGCACAAGTAAGCTATATGAGGAAGTGGTCCAAATGCCCATGGCCCTACTCCTTCTACACTACCTTCTTTCTCCCTGCCTGCACTAATGGCATCATGGGGAGTTCTCTACAGTCAGGTGATTGAGGAAAAGAAAGCTCAGGCTTGGTTTACAGATGGTTCTGCATGGTATGCAAGCAAAACCTGGAAGTGGAGAGCTATAGCACCTAAGCTCCTTTCTGGGACATCCCTGAAGGAAAGTGAAGGGATATCCTCCAAGTGGATAGAACTTTAAGCAATGCAGCTGGTTGTTCACTTTGTTGGAAGGAGAAATGGCCAGATGTATGATAATATATTGATTCATGGACTGTGACCAACAGTTTTGCTAGATTGTCAGAAACTTGGAAGGGACATGATTTGAAAGTTGATAACAAGGAGATTTGGGAAGAGGCATATAGATAGAACTCTCTGTGGGGGCAAAAAAAAGAGACAAAAATCTGTGTCCCATGTGAATGCTCACAAACTGTGATATAAGTAGAGGAGAATTTTAATAATCAAGTGGGTAAGATTACCTATTTTGTGGATACTAGTTAGCC